CTTACTTGATCCAGGTCCCCTACTCATTTTAGACCCTTTCTTTTGTAGAAATAAATTGGAAACCTCTAACTCATTCGCCAGAGTTTTGCCGTAGTCCGCGCGATTTAGCAGCGCATGCGTGGTGGCCCCATGTGTTGATGAGAGAGATGAGATCTGGCTGCACTGTACGTCAGTCAAGTGGCAAATGATGATGGTCTATCTTTTTAATAACATGCGATCTACCCACACTACCTATGCGATCGCCCAGTCGATCACGATCGACGTACTGGGCACCACTGACGTATGTTTCAGCTGTGTTCCTTATTTTGTCTTCCTCTATTTATTTATATATTTTTATTTATTAAATTCTTTACATTTACTAGTATACTTCCATTTTATAATTCTCCGTTACATATAATTAAAATATTCAGTATCAGATATTTTATGGTAAGTGTTTTTTTCTCACCATTTTGGAGTAGCCTTATAGAAAAGAAGAATGAAGACCATTTATCGGCTCTAAAATATGTCCAGGGTGATAGCCAGTACTGCGACATTTGACTACGGTTGGCTCACTGATATTTCTTAGAAGCTGAGGTTGCTTTATACACGAACTATATGGAAAAAAAACGGGTTTTGCACAAGAAATTTCAGGGTCCGTACTATACATGAATAGACTTACACATGAGAATATACGGATATTACGATTAGACAGGTAGACAGATATAGATAGACAAATTCACCCGGCAAAAATTGTTAATGAGTGCATTTAATGAGCTTAATTCATAGTGCCAAAGTTAAATACACACACACACACACAAACATAGAACTCAAGATAAACCTTTCCAAAACAGACACAATGATCTAGAATTGGAATGAAAGTCCGTTTTGGTGCGTACCCTGAATCCTTCATAGGTCTCCATGTGTATTTAAATGAGTCTTAATTGAGCGATGGACAGAGAGATGTAACGCCAGTCTTCTTGTTAAACATGTTGTAGTATATCCAATATAAATATTTACAAATTTGGATTGACCAGAAACAGTTCCTTAAAGGACATGTAAATTCGTAAATAATATTGGTTCTCTGTAATTTGGATCTTGCAGGTGAATTTTTATTTCTGACGCTGAGATTAGAGGTTTTAAATTTTTGTAATAAATAAATTATTTCCTTGTTTTCGTCTACTGTTACATCCCTTTGACTATATCTCAATTAGGTCCTATTTAAATACACATATGAGACCTACCAAACTCTATCCGTAACATCGTTGATAATACAAATATAATAGCATCATCCACATGTAAAAGAAGGTTAAAAAGAATGGAAGCATTATTAATAAAAAAGAAAAAGCCAACAGTTAATTATATAAACTATGAAGACGGCCACAATATGCTGGTCGTGTTTGGAAAATAAAACATTCTTATAACTCTAGATACATGCGTAAAACAATGCCTTTAGTCAGTTAAAAGTAAAATAAAATTAATTCTTGATAATGGTTAAATGTATAGCCGAAAGTGCTTGTAAAACTTTCGGAAAATTTTTATAAAATGTATGTGCTGAAAAGAAAAAATGTAGGAACATATGAGAAATTATATTAAAAAAAACTCAAAGACCACATCTTATCAGTTGTTTTTGACGAAACTTGCGTGAAAAAGGGATTGATGCCTAAATACACAATATATATATATATATATATATATATATATATATTGATTCAAAGGTTTGTGACATATTTTGTAACATTATAATTATTTTGTGGACAGCCAAACGCTGTTTTTATTTCGAGCATAAATTCTGTGCAAACACAGGATCACAATTTACAACAATATGAGTTTCGGTAATCTGATTTTCTAACCAATCAAAAGGTAAATCTTTCTAACCAATCAAAAAAGAGAGAAAGCAGTCTAGCAGATTTTTCTTGTCATTTTTTTTTCTTTTTGAGCCGATCTTAACAATTAGCATAAGTATATTATATTTCTTAGCTCACCGACGAGTGTAACAGTACAATTATCCAATTGAATAAAAAGCTTAATGGCAGTACCTTCTCAGTCATCATGAAACATGATTATACACACACACACACACACACACACACACACACACACACACACACATATATATATATATATACCGGGTGCAGCAGCCCAATTATCCAAATCGTGTTTCCGCATAACTTTTCATCCCACAAAATGTCTAATATCTAAACAATCGCTAAACTAATTGAATTTCTTTTTTACAGGTTTTCAGATAAGACATTTAGACATCTTGCTACCACTTAGCGTTAGAAAAACTAAAAAATCCTTTAAGTTATTCAGCTAGAAAAAGAACAGGTCCAAAACGTTTTGTGTCAGACCCATTGTCTTCATAACGAAGCAATGGTGAGAGAAAAAATGATTCAGGCCTTCAGTAATGGTATCATCATTCATGCTCTGGCTTCCATTTTCAAAGTCCATTTAAAATCCATCAAGAGAACAGTTAGTAAGTTTAAAAAAAAAGGGAAACAGCAGAGAGAAAAACTGCATTAGGAGGTCAAAAAAGGAAGAGGGATCATTTCAAATTAAGACTAAAGAGATCAATTAGAAAAGATCCAAACCATAAAAAGTTTTGCACATGAAAGAGGAGTTTATGACAGTACCGAAAATATATGAGGCACTTTGTTACTCCATGACAGAAAGATAGAATGTTAGAGTGGGCAAAGATCATCTTGAATAAGTTGGCAAATGACCCTGGAATAACACACACACTCACACTATATATATATATATATATATATATATATATATATATATATATATATATATATATATATATATGAGAACTTTATTTCAATCCTTCATGAACTTCCGGTATGATTAATTAATGATGAACATGTCATTTTCGTTTATGATCGATTTCATCATGATTCTTCTGTTAAGCTTGGAGAGTAATTATACATTCTTATTGCTCAAATTAGAGTCCAGTAGTGTTATAAACCCTCGGAGAATTCCAGTAAGATATCTTTAATCATTTCTAAAATACAACAGTTCAAATCTTAATCTAGCAATTGGAAAATTTTGCTGTTACACGATTTAGACAATTTTGCTGTTACAGCCGGTCGATATAAGATGAAAATAAATCCCAAATCATGTCTGCACTTATACAAAATTTTCTCATATGTAAAAATCATGTTGATGTCATTACGATACTTATGAACAGAGTATATTTTAAGTGTTTTTTCATCGTTTTATCCTAAAATTCTCTATTGACCAACGTCCCAGAATAGACAGATAGATATTATTGAATCAGAAATACCAGAGTTCAATATTTATCGCAGATCAACTCTGAGTTTCATAATTTTTCTCACATCAGGACTTTCAATATATAAGTTACAAACAATTGAACCTCTTCACTAGATGAATTATTTGAAGAGGACATTTTTATAATTATTCAGGGTAAACGTTTTTATTTTTTATTATTATCTATTCCAGAAAATGGCATTCAAGTTGTGTAACTGTTAGAAGTGCAGAAAATGTAATCCGTGAAACTTAGTTCAAATTCCAGCATAATCAACTGCATTCACTTTCGCACTAATGCCCATTAATAAGGCATGAAACAAACTGCTTCTGACTTCAGCTATGAATTAAAATAGCAGAGGAGACAAGGCTCTCGATCTTCGTGTGGCAAAAAATCTATAAAAAAAAACGGATTGATTGATTGATTTGTTTTTTTACGGCTTATTTAAAACTGAAAAGTATTTTGGATGGTAATAATAATTATTTTGGACAGTGAATATTGCATTCACATTTTCTTTATAATAACTATTTAACTCATGGCGGGGAGGGAGTTAGATTCATAGATTCTTCAAGGGATATCTTACATATAAACGAATATAACAAATCCGACTGGAATTCGAACTCGGCTTTCTGATCTCTAATTCCTTGACACTATCAACTACGCCACTCGCACTTCTGCCCTGAGAAGGAAAATTCTGGATTTTAAATTGTGGCAGCGGGAAATGCAAACCACGCCACTGTCTTTCCAAATAAATCATGGAATTTCACTGATAATAAAAAAGGACTTCGGAGAGCTATAACCGTTTACGTTCTGAAAGGGAAATGGTCTTTTTTTATTCGAGAAATTTCGCACATTGAAACTGAATATCTTTAGTGTTTATACGAATCTGTGAAAATTTAAAACACATTGACAGATCTAAGAATCTGATTGCTTTTAATTTATAAGATAATCGCATTGCTGTGAATATTTCCAACTTTTAAGCAACTCCATAAGACAATTTGAAGTAATGTCGTTATTTTACGAAGTATTTGAATGTGAGCGGGTGTAAGTGATAAGGAATGAGAAATTGGAGAGTCGAATTCGAGTCGAGTTCGCTGCATTCATTTACGCGCAGATATTCTTGGAAAGGGTATGAATCCATCTCTTCCCCCCTTCCACCTAGCTATGGTTCAATCGTAGGACTTTATCTGGAAAAATCATTATTTCCAAAGAAAATTGGTAATGTAATATTCACTGAAAAAAATAAAATTCTTACAATACAAACTAAGCTTGGGCTTTAAATAACTCCCAAACGATTGGTTATCCGTAAAAAACAAATCAACCACAAAGATTTTGGACTATTATCCTCTTTTTTTTTTTTTTTTTTTTTTTGATTATAATGATTCCACTGTTTTTTCATCTTTTCTTATAAAAAAATTATTTTTTATTGCAATCCTTTTATATTGCCAACACAAAATTATGGCGCAAAACAGTGAGTAGTCTCCATGTGACACAAAGCCGAAAGTATGGGGCATCCAGTGAGGATCGTACTCACTACTCAATCAAAACTGTTCTAGTGACAGAAGCTTGCCAACCATTACACCACTTCGAGGTACGAATGTTTTGATATGCATCTATTGAGGAAATGCTTTATTTTCCGTTTAGTTTACAGGATGTAACGCTGCATAGGCTTGAATTAAGAGTAATACATCTCTCGGAATCTTCTAATTTCTAAGGAGATACATTATTAAAGTTTTAACTGGAAAATGATTACCTTTCTTGATTGGATTTTTGTTTTAATTCTTTCTTATTTTCCAAATAGATTTCGCGTATCCGCAATTCGAAAGAAGAACTCGAACTAAAAATAAAATATCATTATACAAAATCTGAAATACAGCAACAATAAAATTTGATTGGAATTCATGAGAAATACCATTAAAAGTTTATTTTTTAAAATTCTCAGATGTAATTAATATAAGATAATGGAAATTAATTTAAAATACGTTTAATTAAGGATAACCTTACTATTGTAGAGGCGTCTTAATCTGAGCAGAGCAAACCGCGTTTGATTTAAATTAAACGAATTTACTATCATGATCTCAATCTTGCCTCAAGACACAAAACTATAGGTGTGAAATAACTACTGAAGTTATTTGTTAAACATGAGTCTATTTGTGTAATTATTAAGCATAGTTTCATCTGGGAGAAGACCACGGTTGTTTGTAGATTAGTATAATAGATATATTTACCCGGTCTCCTCACCAAGGCTAGATGTGACACAAGGCCGTTTTAACGTGGGATGCGGCATATTCATACTTATGCATATGGGCTAAAGACAAAAACTAGCTCTTTGCCCAGCCCCCACGACCACTTTCACGCTGCCAGTGGTTTTTACACGGACTCAACCTCTTTAGTTCAATGAGGAAGGTGCCGCTACAGGATGGGCATCCACGGGGCTGGGCAATTTCTCTCATCGAAAATGAGGAGAAACATGGCTCCACTTGCAGCACAGGGATGATAACCACACATCAGTAAACACTCTGTCTATATTTCTGAGATGAGGTATTATGTACAGTATTTACATTAGTCGGACTATTGTCCTCATCTTTGTCGCCATATTTGTCACAGCGTTTCGGCCGTTGTACGCCGAACTCACATTCTTTGGGTCTGTCACTTGATCTAACCAACGCTTTTATCCACTGTGCCATGTGTCCTTGAGGACATCTGGGTATGAACTTCTGAGTATTATAAACCTAATGTTTTCAGCAACCCTTTTTTTACCAGTGCTCATATTGCAATTTTTGCTATTATCATTACATGTTTTTACCAGAGTTCATATTGAAATAAATACAATATGGGAACCAGTAATAAGGAGTGCCAGAGAAAAGCAATGATAACAAGTTGCAATGAGTTCAATACCCGGTTAAGGCAGTGGAGAACTTTCAGAGGGAAAATTAGCAGGAGATAACTGATAACTGACATCCATCAAACATGGCACGTGGAACTAGAACAGTCTACCCCAGTGATCGAAATAAAGGGTTCAGTTCGAAATTCCAACCACCTGAAGAAGGCCGGAGCGTACAACGGCCGAAACGTTGTGACAAATATTGCGACAATAGTCCGACTAATTTAAATACTGTGCAGTAAACACTCGTTAAAAATGGTTAACGCCTAAGGCTTGTACGGGGTGCGATGGGTAAATTGTCGCCATTTTATATTTTTAATTTCGCGCATGCTCGATGTTTATTTTTGATTTTGTCAGCTGCTCAGTATAGTAGTTGGGAAGTCGGGCAAACTGTGAGAAAAAGAACATCATGATGTAACTCGCTCCGCCAGCAGTTTGGAAACAGCATGCTTTACTGCTTGGCATTCACGCCGGAAGCTCCAATTCGAACATTTCTGAGTGTTTGGGTGTCAATCTGAGGACATTGCAGATTCAGAAAGAGTTGAGTGATATATCCAGTCAACATCATGGTGTTTGAAGTGATCACTAGTGATGGCGACGTTATGTCTTCATTCTCACAGGGCCTTAGACTCAACACGGAGCCCTACATACAGTTCCTTGAAAAGGAGGTGCCGCACTGAGTCAAGAGGGTGGCTGCTAGAAGACCCTATGTCTGGCAACAGGACACTGTACCATGCAACACAAGGAGGAGAACGCACCCATGGCTGTCAGATAATTTCTGCGACCATATCCCCACTTACATCTATCATCTAACTCCCCATACTGTAACCCTCTTGATTATTATGGGTGGGTCGCATTTAAGCGAGAGACCTTCAAAACTCCTTGTAACACCAAAAATGAAATGAATTATAGCAGCACTCACAAACTTAAACAAGGAGACAGTCCAGAAGTCGCCACGGTACCGTGGTTGAAGCCAATAACGTTTTATTGAATAAATTTGCTCTTTAGTATTTCAAGATATTTTTGTGTAATTTTGGTAAATTTATGTTAAAATGAGATGTCTGTGCTATTTTTATTTTTTCGTAATTTAAAAGACAAGTTATCCATCACACCTTGTATATACGTTATGCACTTCTGTTCTATCTACCTGAACAGGTGTTACAGCCCGGAGTATATCCGCAGTCAAGAGTACGCTGCATTCCAGAATATATACCCGAGCCAGAGTATGGTTGACGTGGATATGAGTTAGGAAATGATGAATTGTTTTGAGGGAATAGTTGAACGATTGTTTTATACTAAAAGATACCCAGAAATACATCGCTATTTTATTTAATTGATGTCACACATTATGAATTGGACAAAGTCCGACAATTATTTTAAGACATTTATAAACATTTATTTTTATTATAAACAGAGCATTTACTTAAATATTTGTATCTATAAAAGGAATGTATAAACATAAAAATGTCTTAAAATAATTGTCGGGCTTTGTCCATTTCATAATGTGTGACGTCATTTGTTTACATTTGATACGCCATGAGCAGACATGAATGTACGTGAGAGATTCATGGAAAATTAAAGTTTAAATACAGTAAATTCGACCTTGCTAACCGAACGCTTCTTCGTGGCCAAATCGGTTCCGTATAGGATACAGGTTCGAATCCTGTCGGAGGACGAATATTTTCTGTGAAAATTTCTCAGACATTCAGGCCGGTAAATGTTATTCAATACTGTTTGTTATAGACAGAGCATTTACTTAAATATTTGTATCTATAAAAAGAATGCTAAACATAAAAATGTCTTAATTTAATTGATGTGCAAAGAAACTTTAACGAAACTGAAACAACTAAATTAGCGTTTTTGGGGTTTTTTTCTATTTTTCAATGGAGTTTAGACAATTACGAATTGCAAAAGCAATAAAAAAAGTGTTTTCAAATAAAAATCAAATGAAAATATTTAAAAAACAGACTAACGCAAAAGTCAAATGCCAATTCTGTAAAAATAAAAAAAAAACTAGTCGGGCAAAAGTGACAAGTTTGGGAAAACAGTGTAAAAGCCAAGAGTATAATTACAGCCCAAAGTATAGTTATTTAATAAGCATAGCTTAGATGTGGTACAATGCCGAAAGTATAGAGCACACTGTGAGGATTGAACTAGCTACTAAGTCGAAATTAATCAAGCAAGACAAAATTGATAACTATTACACCTCGTCACAATGCCCCGACCTCAGCCCAAAGTATATCCACGATTATTTTACGTTAGACTGTTTCGTACTCGGACTATATAAATTAGTCAAGGCTAGTTTAAATTCCCTGCGTATAAAACAGGCTAAGATAAAATATACGCTACGAGATCATAATATAGACACTGATTCTCCTATGTAATAAGGTGTATATCATTCTATTTCACCTTCCTTCCTCGTTGCCGAGTCGCTTATTTTTCTTTAATAAGCTTCGCAAGCTTCGACAATATTAATTCATAATTTAATATAACTTTGTAAAAATTAAAAATTAAACGAAAAATGTTGAATACAGTTATATGAAAAAAAAGGTTAATATTCATTTATTCAAATAAAGGAAATTTTTAAAAAATTAAATTTAAAAATAAAAATTCTTTTTTAAAAAAATGAATATTAAAACAAAATATTGAAAAGAATTATTTGAAAAAAGTTTCATACTTATTCATTTATTCAAATACTAACGCTGTACCATCAGTACTTCCACACACACGCACGCACACACACACATATGTAGACCGTGACAATATTTACGGCACACTTAAGAGGATTTCGCGGCACATTAGTGTGCCACGGCACGGCGGATGAGGATCGCTGGCTTAACTGCTGGATGCTTATTGATTTGGGTCAAAAGAATTGAACAGTGGCCATTTTGTTATTTTCTGTGTGCGGTCTACAAGGCATGATTTAATTTATTATTCTGAACAAGTATATTCTGGAGCGCTGTTTACTTTTACATATGGCTGTATTAATTAAATAGGATTAGTCTCTTTTTAGAAATATAGACGATTTCTATTGTTTTTTTTATTAATTTACTGTAAATTCGCGCAATACAAGGCCCTCAAGTAAGAGGCTTACCGAGTGAAATTGTTATAATGAAGGGAGAAGAAAGGAGTAACAAATGCACATGATGAAGACGTGTAGGATAGACTCTGTTGACTCTGGACTTAAAGAGATCAAGAGTGTAGTTCTCAGGGAAGCATCCTCTCGGGAGTCTATTCCAAAAAGTTTAGGAAATGAGGTTATGTGAGTTTAACTTGCTTCTTATCAAAGGCACACGAAGAGGATGGCGATTGTTTGTCGCTGTGAGCCTAATAGTGCGGTTCCTAGCTGTGAAGGTCTGAACTGGGAGAACTAAGGAACGTAACTCGTCCGAAAATCTGCTATAGTAATAACGATAGAGTAGTGAGAGGCTAGCAACGTTTCGTTCGAGGGATAAGGGTCGCAGGATGGAGAATAATTCATCACATGGCCGCGAAAGTGCTTTGAACTCTGTTTAGGATTCGGTAGCACCAGCCCAGATATGGCAGCCATACTTCATTCTTAGTTTGATCAGACTTTTGCACAGATAGAGCATAGCAGCGGGAGTTAGGTATTTTCTGAAGCGATTCAAAGAACCGACGATTCTTCCAACATATTTTTCGGATTGCTCGAATATGTGCGTTTCATTTGAGGCCTGGAGTGAGCATTCGAGACAAAGAGCCTTTTTATCGGCCATAATTATCAATTTGTAGACGGGGGCCATTACATAACATACTTCATGAGAAAACAGTTGTTAACACTCATAGTAAAAGAGGGTATAAAGAGACCACGGCTATATTATACCCCGAGGCGTGAAGCAACAAACCCAGTCATATCCAGGGGGGGTATTCTAGAATAGGGTAAACTATACCCGGTATAATCTTGGAAGGAAGTAAAGTGTACACGTACTGGTGTTGGCTGGAAGGTTCATAAGCTGACTAAGATATAAATATAGGCATATCAACTGGTAGACTAAAAGACATGCCATTATAACAGAATACAACAACTAGTCGACCAACTGGTATATCTATTTACATTTATATCTTGGTCAACCGAGCATCGTACAATGGTTTCCCTCTGCTGAGCACTTACAATACAAAAGCTACATTTCTTGGATCAAATAATGAGAAACAAGTTTTGTTTGAATATCTTCCAAGGTGAACATTCTATTAACCAGGCTTTGAGATTGATTTTCTTTAGATCCATACTTATTTATTGCTTCAGTTAAACTTCGCACGTGGTTGCATAATGATTTTAAATCAATTCACCCCAAGCAAGGTGATAATGAATCTAAGGAGCAAAGGGTGACTGGGAGTGAAACAGAATGAAAATACTTTAGAATAAAACAGAAAACCCAATGCTAAACAAGAAACAGAAGATAAACGTCTACACCTGTTCAAATGACCAGAAATAAGTATGAGCAGGATGATAGCCGGACCTATCTACTCACGTTGAGAAGAAAAAAACAAATGGATAATTAGTAAATAAAATTTCAGATTCAGATATCAGAAGTATGGAGTTGAAGTAGAGTTTAGAAAACCCAAACTTAAACAGGAAACAAAGGATGAAGATGTTCAAATGAACTGGAGGGGAATGAACCGGACGACAATCAAAGCTATCTACTTCTATCTACGAAAAAAAAAAATAAATTTTCAGTAGTATAGTTTTAATAAAAAAAAAAGAAACCTCATTAGATTTTCTTAAATCATTTCACCCCAAGCAAGGTGATAATGCCACTAAAGCACAAGGGGCTACTGAGAGATGAAGAGAAGGAAACTACTTTAGAAGGAATCAGAAACCCAATGCTAAACAGGAAACAGAGAATAAAGTTCTGCTTCTGCTAACATTACCAGGGAGGAGTGTGAAACGGACGATAGACGAACCTATCTACTCCTATTGAGGATAAAAAAGTAAATAAATAATTAGTGAATAAAACTTAAATTTAGACGGGGATGTTAGAAGTATAGAGCTGAAATAGAGTTTAGACGGAGCCAGAAAACCAATCCTTAATAGGGAAGAAGTGATAAACATCTATTCCTGTTTAAATAATCGTGGAGGGTGTGAACAAGGTGATAGGCGGACCTATCCACTCCTATTGAGAAGAAAAATGTAAATAAATAATAGGTAAATAACATTTCAGAGTTCAGACGGAAACGTTAGAAGTATACAGTTGAAGTAGACTTTAGAAGTGACCGGAAACCCAATCTTAAACAGGAAACAAAGGAGAAACACCTACTCCTGTTCAAATCTACAGGAAGGCGTGTGAACCGGACGATAGGAAACTCTATCTACTATTAAAGAAATCTTCAGCAGTACAATTAGTCTTAATAAAAAAAAACAATGAAGCCTCATTAGATTTGTTTTAATCAATTCACCCCAAGCAAGGCGATAAGTGACTACTTAGCGTTAAAGAGAATGAAAAAAACTTTAAAAGGGACTGGTAAGCCAATCCTAAACAGGAAAGAAAAGGATAAACCTCTACTTTTGTTCAAATCAATGGGAGGAGTGAGAACTGGACAATAAGCGAATCTATCTACATAAGCCACTACATATATATATATATATATATATATATATATATATATATATATATATATATAAGCAAATATATGGATATAGATCCGACAGTATGAAGAAAATATACCGAAAAAACAAACAAAAATCCTAATATGCGATTATGCTGTTTTAATTTATAATGTCAACGTCGGACGTTTCGGTCTAATAGACCATCTTCAGGACATATTCATAAAACATAATTAACATAGACCATATACAATTCAACATGAAAAAGACGATGGACATAAAAGCAATACCAATCCAAACAGATAACTGAAATCTTTTATAAGATCAGCGTTCCGTTTAAATATAATACTCAAATTTTAGGAATACGTTTTCACAACATCGCCCACGTGACGACGACGTGATCATATTTAAACGGAATTTATATATATATATATATATATATATATATATATATATATATATATATATATATACCCGAATGTAATGAGAGCGAAAATAATATATAAATTCTAACGATCACAGCATTAATTCAAAAGACGGCTCAATACCAATAGTAGGCCAATAATTATTTATTATAATATTTTCATATGGACAAAAACAATTTACTTACTACAAAGATGCAACTTCGTTTCGGTGCATTTAATTGCACTTAGACTGGTGAGAACCAGTATTCAAAGGCCATTTTAAACTATTGCAAATTTCTAGTAATAGCTATCTTATTAGTGGATGTTTATTTATTGCACAGTCTCCAAATGAAACTAGTCCTTGGTATGACTATAAACTCCATCCGACAGCAAGATCGGGAGAGTGGATATTTTGAGGGGCGTAGAACCACCTCTTAATTGCTGTTGTTTCCAGGTTAAACCTGACCCTGATGAACTTAGCGATAGGCAAACATATCTAATCATATTGATAGAAAATAAAATAAAAATAAATAGGCGGAGGCGTTAGAAGTATAGAGTTGAAGTTGACTTTAGAAGGAACCGGAAACCAAATTCTAAACAGGAAACAAGAGGTAAAACTCTAATCCTGTTCAAAAGGACATGTAGATGTGAAGATATACTTTATCGACAGGACAGCATCTCACCTTGCTTTTATATTTCCAGAATCATCTGTGTCTTCCTTAATCATTCTTCTGAGCACTTGGGCGATTTCGTCCTGAGATTTTCCGGGCAGGAGCATTTGCATCACTTTTTCCATTTCTGTTCGTTTTAACTTACCTAATTTGATGAGATTAGTTATCCACTGAAGTTCCTGAAGTAAAGTAAACAAATATAAATAAATGATGAATACAAGCTCGAAAACATATTTGTACTTCTTCGATATTCAGCCACACGTATCGAAATCTTTTGATATTCACCCTCTCGTATCTATACTCATTAACAGCATCGTCAAAAAACTCTCATCATAAACAAAACATTTTCTCGGGTTTCGTTCAAATTTTTTATCTGAAAAATTGTTTTCTGTTAATCTCATAATACACACAAACACACACACACACATACATACATACATATATATATATATATATATATATATATATATATATATATTTCTATTTAATATATATATATATATATATATATATATATATATATATATATATATATATTTCGTCTCTTCTACTCCAATAGCTTAATGTCTTGCACTTCTCGCCTGAGGAACTCCCACTCCATTTCTTGTTTTCCTGATAACTATAATCTCTAACTATTCAAATGTAACGTCAATCGACGTCTCCAGATACCCTGATTTATCCCCTAACCGTCTCTTCATCCTTTCCTCTATCACTCCTCTTTGTTCTTGCTCCTACTCTGAAACCCTTTGCGTGCAAGTGACTTCCCGCCTTGCTTGGGGTTGAATGCTTAAAAAAAAAGAAGATATTACGATTATTATACTGAATGTATTGCCCTTAGTTTTTAGATTGAAAAAAATTAAATATGAATTGGTTTATAATATTTTACTTTTTATTGTTATAATATAACTTGACATTTTATATAATTTAATTTTAAAATTTGATATTTTTAGTTTGATAATTTATATAAATTAAATAAATATTAAAACGAATATTTGCTTAATTTGTAGACAAACTGTAATTTTGAATATTTTCTGTTTATATTTCTAGCGATGAACGAAACAAGTTTATATATATATATATATATATATATATATATATATATATATATATATATATATATATATATATATATATATATATATATATGGTTGGATTGATCAATCCAACCAAATATGTTAACTCTATCTCTGATATTGAGCGCTTTCTAATAAGTACCGCGCATATAATATATATATATATATATATATATATATATATGTTCATATTTATATAAACACACTTTTCATATATATATATATATATATATATATATATATATAAAACTTAAGATTTAAGTATTATCTTTATTTCTCCACCAAAGCTACTTCGACATCAAGGCCTTCTTAAATCTATAATAACTACCATTTATACAATCCTGGAAAAACTCTGGATCCTGAGAATTTAACCAATGTCAAAGCATTTTTTACATCAATAATCACGCCAAAATAGGCACGGTTCAAAAATTAATCAACGTTAAGAAATAAGAAAACAAACTATGTTTTTAATCAGGACTCTAAGATGTATATCTAACGATTTTACCTTTTTGATGTGAATATTCAGGGGCATGAATCGTGGTCGAAAAAAAGGACCATTAGTGATTGTCTTTCTGGTAAAATTCCTTCAGTATTCAAAAAAACTGTCGCTATAAACTTTCTCTCTGACCAGTCTCGCTTTTGCTTTGATTGGAGTTTTTTTTTTTTTTTTTTTCACCTTTCGATAATCATTGCTTTGACTGAGCTATGTCTTAAGGATGGTACTAGTAAGGCCAAGTGGACGATAGTTTTAGTATTCACCGAACATAAAGTTTGCTCAACTTTAATATTTTTAAATAGAATTGTGTAGGGTAACCGATTTAAATATCTACAGTGTTCGCTATTATTTCCCCCTGTTAATCTAATTGAGGTTACATTCAAGTGAATCTCAAACAGCATCAATTTATCCTCACAAAGTGATTGTCGATTGCCTACCGATCAGTTCACCGTATTCAACTCCGTCTCAAATCAACGGTAATCTCATCAGCTTTTCAAACAAGCTTTACCATAAATTTGATGTTAGTTCGTGTTTTCCCGATATAGTTATCAACGTTTTCAATACGAATAAATATTATAGGCTCAAGTTCACAATTACACCCTCATAGTTTTACCAATATTGGTTGTTTAATAACATCATTTTACCAACATGAATACCAAGATTATTTGGAAAACATCGGCTTGCGTAATAAAAATTGTCATTGTGTACAGTCTTTTTTCGTTCAGTCTTCTTCAAGATGTTGAGCTTGTTACATTAGTTCCACCGGAAAAAGGATTTATCTGGATCTATTTTTACGCTCGATTTTTTTTCTTGACTGAAACTTGATATTAGTCAGCCCACATTTTGGACGGCTCGATCTTGCAAGCGTTGATAGGGCACAATATTTTTCCATTTATGGGCAGCAGATAACAGGGTATTACTGGGTATGTAAAACAGCTTGGAAGTTTCATATAGTCTTCCAAGGATTGATAATCCTCAATTTTTTTTTCATGTCCTCCGAGGGTGCTTTTGTTTTCATCAGAATTCCGGAAGTGAATGAAAGTCTAATTTGTAAAATGAAATTTAAATAGGTGTTCTAAAGAAATGTATATTACAGCATTAATGGAAAATAGTTCAGTGACAGCTAGACTGATAGATACAAAAAGACTAAGATAGATAGATAGATAGATAGATAGATAGATAGATAGATAGATAGATAGATATGAATCATCTGAGATAGATAGATAGATAGATAGATAGATAGATAGATAGATATGAATAACCCTAGATAGATGAATAGATAGATAGATAGATAGATATGAATAATCTGAGATAGATAGATAGATAGATAGATATGAATAATCTGAGATAGATAGATAGATAGATAGATAGATAGATAGATAGATATGAATAACCCGAGATAGATAGATAGATAGATAGATAGATAGATAGATAGATAGATAGATATGAATAATCTGAGATAGATAGATAGATAGATAGATAGATAGATAGATAGATATGAATAATCTGAGATAGATAGATAGATAGATAGATAGATAGATAGATATGAATAATCTGAGATAGATAGATAGATAGACCGGCCGATCGATCGATCTCGATTATTTCTCAATGTGTATATATAATAATTTCTGCTTACATCGCATCTTATATTTTATTAGCATCAAGCACTTACCTCTTCTTGTAGTTGCTTTTTAATTTCCAATTCGTTCTTTTGACGTACCTCTTCCATTACCTGGCTCATTTCGTGGGTCATTTTATTTCTACAGAGATTAAATAGACAAACGAGATTTGATTATAACATGATTATTACATGAAAGTCTACACATTAATATCATTATATTTTCGCAGATATTAATATCAAAAGCAATTTTCAGAATGCTGATGCCAAGTTATTTTATTAATATTAATCAAAGTTTATAGACGACATAACGATTCAAATGTGGTGAATCTATTGGGAATAAAACTCACTTAAAATCTGTGCAGCTTGTTTGTTAATCACCACTCCACAGCGAAGCTGCTAATATTTTAAATATATTCTGTATATTTTATCAAATATTTTATTACGTATTAGCTTTTGTTTGGTTGGTTGGTTAATTTTGTTAGCGTCATACAAAACTCTATAGTTTATTTAATGCCGAAATCTAAATATTTTAATGCAGCTTTATGCCTTCAATTACAGATATTCTGTTCATAACTTTATACCTTTTGGGGTAAACGTATGACTTAAGATATACAGTTTGCAGATGATAAAATGCATTTGTTAGTATTTTTTATAAATGTTTTGCTGATAATTTTGCTATAGAAATATATTTTTATACTTTTTAATGCTGTACTGAGTGTCATTTTGCTATAATAATGTATTTGTTGGTCATTTTACTTTAAAAATATATTGTTGATCATTTTATTATTGTTGTAACCTAGAAAAAGGTTACTGGATGAGGAATAACCAAAATGGAGGTTGGAAATGAAATGGTAATCTTTATAACATCAACAAAATACAATACTCGCCAGCAGCCTGAAGTAGGTAAACCACTGCTAGTGGTAGATTACTTAGACAGCATATTATTCTCAACACACACACGCGCACACACTTACAATAGTGTCCAACATATCTATAAGGATTGGGACATACCCATTAATGTTCATAGGTATTGTATATAGCAATTATAACAATTATTATTATTTTACTATAAAATGTATTGTTGGTAATATTTTTAATATGGTAATTTCACTACAAAAACTGGTGGTAATTTTTTATTGAAATGTATTACTGGTATTTTAACTATAAAAAATTTTTGATTTTTGTTTGGGGGTTCACGATTTACAAATAGCTGGGATCCTAACAGAGGTTGCCACCCAGGGCCACGGAGGACCCGGGAATAATAGCACCTAAAATATGGTACCATGTTCCCCCAAAGCTCCAATCTCCCGATCAGTGGTCTTGCTACCGAATGTATATTAACTTTTGAAAATATTTTCTCCAGAATATTGATAATATTTTATCCAATGATTTATCCCTGTTGGTGGAGCCTAGAATACGCCGATTACATCCCCTACAGTGGAACTACCTTCCAAGTGGATGTGTGCTTACTAAAGTATAAACGGTACTAATGTCTACCTTTTGACTCAGGTGGATAACACTTAGCTTTTGACTAAAGTATAAGCTAAATCAACGTTTACCTTTTAACTCAAGTAAAAATATGAACGATGATAAGATTTTGACACTAGTAAAGGATGTTCCAATAACTTGGACCGATTTTAAATGTGAATTAAGTTTAAGCGTCTGTCTATATTTCTGAGATGAGGTACTATGTACATTATTTACATTATTCGGACTATTGTCCTCATCTTTGTCGCCATATTTATCACAACTTTTCGGCCGTTGTACGCTCCGGCCTTCTTCAGGTGGTTGGAATGTCGAATTGAACCCTTTATTTCGCTCACTGGGGTAGACTGTTTTAGTGCCATGTTTGATGGATGTCAGTTATCTCCTGTTAATTTCCATCTGAAAGTTCTCCACTGTCTTAACCGGGTATTG